TTTGGTTGATCATGATGAAATGGGGGATATGCCTACTACTGCTGAGTTGAACAAAGGTTCTGTACAACTTGAAGGTGAAGTAGAATTAAATGCAGATGCAGTTGCAGAAGGCAGGGATACTTGTGAGACCGTCAGTGTAATTGATCAGCGTGTAGCCCACCTATCATCAGATGCTAGCGCTAAACCCGAACTAATAGTAAAGGACAACAGTGGTGGTAGTCTTGCAGTTAGACAACTTTCTGAAAGCCGAACAACAACAGCTTCTGATCCACCGCTAAGTTCATCAACTGATATCAATCAGTCGTCGTTGGTGTTGTCATCCACAATGAGAAGGACGCCCATCAACTCAAGTATTTTGTGCAATGACTATGATAGTATTGGTGCGTTTGAAAAGACGAAAGATATTGCTCAGTTTAGTGAGGATAAGCCAAGTGTAAACGAGAGAGTAATTGTTAAATTGACTTGCATGAATAAAGGCATTTCTAGTTTCAAGTTACTATTTGAATGCTATTATCTTTGGTGTAAATTACTCTGTTTCTACGCTTGGTTGACCAGATACGTCGTGTGTTTGTTCGTCATCTATATTCTACGATACAATGACATGAGCGTGTTACCGTTCAGATTTGAGGATATAGCTGATAGAAGGAAGTCAGCAAATGAACTCTGCGACGATTTTCCAACCTAAGGCGTCAACCTGAGAAGGGTTGTAGGCGTACTGCTGTAAGTCCTACAATTCTTCAAAGGGTAGCGCATCAATGAGCAGTCCAATGTGCTTGGTGTGTGATTTTGTACATATGTTCATATTGTATATACTGAATTGATATCATCTGTCATCTAGCTGTTGGTAATTCTGTTTGTGTCCGGACGACTTCCACTTGGATCATCAACCTGAGAAGGAATGTAGGCGTACTGCTGTAAGTCCTACAGTTCTTCAAGGGTAGTTCGTCAAGGCAGAATCCACCACATTTGATGTGTTGATTGTACATATGTTTGTGTTAAATAATTGTGTGAGTTCCAATTATTGTAATTGTTGGTTAATCTTGTTTGTGTCCGGACATTCCACAACTTACAATCGTCAACCTGTGAAGGGTTGTAGGCGTACTGGTGTAAGTCCTGCAATTCTTCAAAGGAATTCCATCGAGACACGATCTGCGAGTTTGTTTGTACTGTGTGTGGTGTGTCATATCAATTGGTGTTTTTGGATTCATTGTGTTTACTCGTTGTTTTCGTACCTTGTTGTTATTGCATAATTTTGTTAAAATTTTCGTCGTGATTACTTCTGAAGTTGTGTCCACTCTTCTACATCCGTGAATGAATTGATTGATGTTAAGGACAGCAGATGGGTCGTATACGCCGGGGAGAGGCTATTGCTGAGAATGAAATGCACACGGAGATAATTGTTAGCTGTGGTCCGACACGCCGGGGAGAAAGAGTGTAGACGACTGAGGCTCGCATACGTCACCGTTACTAGAACTGAGGCAGAATGAGTGACAAGCGATTGCAGTGGTAATTGGTAGTGAGTAGATAAGAGGATGTGCGTAGAGTATCATGAGGTGGTGCTATGGTCACGTTGCATTCTGCAAGAGTCATTCTAGCAAGTGGAGATTGTGTTGCAAGAGGAGTGTCAAGAGGACACCTTTAACTGGAAGGCGCAGGTCGTCATTGATGTGTGAGATTGTGCTGTGGGTATGCTTGTGGTGTGTTGGCTTTTCTGTTTGTTTTCCATTTCAGCTCTGTCCGTGTGACCCAGGTTCTCGCAATGGCATCCAAGTCAACGTGTATTGGTCGTGATGGAAAAAAGGAATAGATCCTTTTTTGCCGGGGAGTGTCAATGTAGTTGAAGATTGAACAATCAATTCATGGTTGTTTGCTCAAAACCAACTTCCCCAATTTTCGCGGAGGCATCAATACACCAGTCATCGTCTCATCGGTCGCTGTTCAGAAAGAAGTCAGTATAAAACCGTCAGAAGTAATATTGTGATTTATTATTGTAATATTTGTTCATAGACCTTAGTTTTAAAGCTTAGTTTTAAAGTTGGCTATATGTCGGTGTTACAATAAAGAATTCTCGAGTGGCCAATCGCTGTTTTGGTTTTTGCGTCCGTTATTGCTAAGCGTTTCTGAGAAACTTCAAGGAACAGCGTGAGTCCCAGCGTGGCAAGAGCTGGGCATTGGCGGTTTACGAGACGTGGCTGACATTCTATTATGAGGCTAAAGTTCCACTGTGCAGTTAAAGTTTAGCCTACTTATAGTGTTCGGCAGTCGGATGACTGCTTTCAGTTACCTGTATCTACACCAGTGAGTAGGAAATATCGCAATCATCATTTTTCCACATTAGTTTCACAAATGTTGCAGCTAAACCTATCATAATTAATCCTCCAACATAAAAGCCAACCAAATATCGTATTTGAAAACTGCCAGTATGCAAGAATCTTACTGAACGCATGAGCGCTGAATAAAAGGGGACCCCAAAACACTGTCTTTCGAAAGTCCAATCCCGCTTTACCAGCTAACCTGACACCTTTGATGATTACAAGTTCAATAACCTAGAAACGGTCTCATACGGCATATAAGGTGCGCTGTAGGTCCCTTGGCTTTATTCATAACGGTGTCTATTCTCTTCTTAATTTCCTCATATGGTCCTGTTTGCGTGTAGGTTTTCACCTTCTGTAGATATTCTGACTTTCCCAATATTACTGTTGCATTTCTCCTGTTTGAGTTAGTGATTACTATACTCTTTTTACTATGAAGGTTTTATAGGGCTTAACTGGTTTCTTCAGGCTGGGCCTTCCTCTCTTTTGTCGTTTTAATGTCACCGCGCATTGTCCCTGTACTTCATCGGTCGATATTGTGTCTATCCCACTTGGTGCTATTTCTGTTTTGGTGATGACGTCCTTAGGTTTCAGCTTGTCTGCTTCCCCGATGAAATTTGGTGCCTTTTCTGATAAACTTATTTCTGCGGGACCTAACACAGACACCAAACAAAGCCGTTTCTAGGTGAGTATGAGTAGTTTGATTCAATGCCAGAAACTAATAACCCCAGTAGAATGTAAAGTGTTGTTAAAGTTCATAAGTCAGGATGCCTTATTAGACCTATAGCTGATTTCATAAATTCACCTATTTATATATTTTCTGGATATTTAGCTTATGTATTAAATCCCCTTAGAAGCAACTCAAAATTTAGACTGACTTATTCTTATGAACTAAAACATAGATTATATTTGCTCTAACCAAGCTCACTTGTAGCAGTTTTAAATGCACATTAGATAATTTAAAATTAGACAGTGAGGAAAAATGGCTAGTTTTAGCACCGCCAGTTTATAAATACGTATACTGAAAAATATGGCCATAAAAGTGGTTGGAAACAAACTCATTTTTGACCAAGAACTTGAACTTAGAGAAAGGTGCCATCGGAGGACATAATGCTGGGGGTGCAGCTATACAGTATTTAGACGTCAGGGGAAATATACGAACAAATTGAGGAGGTTGCTATAGGGTCACCTACATCCCCGAGTGTAGCAGATATATTCATGGGTAGGTGGGAAAACTTAGCGACCGAAACATTCAGACCCATCCTAAAAGTATGGTGGAGGTATGTAGATGAAACATTCACTGTACAGGAAATATTTAGACTCTTTGAACACGTTAACTAGAAGACGGTATCAATTCAATTAACTTATGAACTGAAGTCAGGAAAGGGGCTTCCAATGTTAGATTGTAGTGTAAAAAGGAAAGTACGGTGCAATTTAAAGCACGGCCTGTTGAAACAGTGACATTCGTCTACTAATCTCAATGGCATAACGATCAGCTAGAATTTCCAAATTACCAATGTCACTTGCCACTACCTCATTGTCTTCAAAGATATAGTAAATAACATGCCAAATTCTAAGGATGTCTTGTGGCTTAATTATTCTGCAGATTTCTCATAAGAGCTCCGCTGGCTTTTCTGAAGTCCCCACACTTTGTGAAATACTGACCGGTGGCGAAGTTTCAGAGTTAGTTTCGCAGGCCTGCCGTTTCCTTAATGCATAAAAAATCAAACTCTTAATAGTCAGGCAGGGAAACCTGATGTAATACTTATTTAGAAATCTACCCGTACCTAGATGCCCTATTGTGTCGTCAGAGTTGTAGCTAATACTATCGACAACAAGACCTTTTCAGTCGACATTCAATTCTATTAAAAGGATCTGATGCTTTAATAACAATGATTTTTCATCCCCCTAGTGCCGACAACACGTGAAACTCAGCAATGATGGGAATTAGAATGACAACCCAATGCTGTCGGATAATTTCGAGAAACATGAAACTTCCATAAGCTTAATTGAACAGAGTGTCAACATGGACTGCTTAGATTATGAAAATACTTCAAGCATTTCCTCTGTTGCTAAGACAGAAGGATCGTTTACCGGCATTTCCTGCGAGACTTAATGGAGCAGGTGAGTTTAAAATAACTAGAACTTAACGATAGCAGAAACAGCGTAAAATCGGGGGTTGTGTCAAGATCTTAGACGTTCAGTTAACCATATTGACATGAACTTTCCAAGAGTCAACATGTCTTGCGGGCAAATTCTTCCACAAATATCCCGTCCAAATCCCTGTCGGTGGCTCAGTGGTCAGAACTTGTGCCAATCATGCACATGGTCCGAGTTTCGATCCTCTGCCGACGCACACCTGATATCTATGGTCGGCCTGCAAAATTTAGGCTACCGATATCCATGCTGAAAATTCCATACTTGTACCAAAATCGCAGTGTGGAATCAAGCCATAATCAGAAATAAAATAAATAAAGATGTTTGCAAGGTATCTGCTTATGATCTCAATTCAGGTCTGTTAATGTAGCAACCAAGGAACTCCTAAAAGGAATGCCACACACTTTTAATTGCAAAGCGTAAATCATATACAATTCAAAGAGTTAGCATGGCATTTAAGAATCAAATGCACAGAAACCATCGCATAAATCCGCAACTGTGTTTAAATTAATGAAAATTATTATTTGTCATGTTAACGACTCCGTACATTTATGAACATGACAGCCCGTGAACCTGAATGTTTGAGAGGTTGGCAGAACACAGCGACAAATGTATTGGGCGATAAAAGAAATTCTATGTGTAAAAACATTTTGCATCAACGAGTAGACATTTCCTTTATAAAATATGAATGATTAAGTCAATTTTAGGTCGTTGTAATACGTTCTGCTTAAATACACCTCCTTTATCATTCACTTATGGTATGAAGAATCTGAAGACGACAGGAGTTGCTGATGGTAATTATATATTCATCTTACTTTTCAGCTCTTCACTGGTCTGATGACACCAATATTCATGGGAAATCAAACGACCATATGTATTTAACACGCGATTTCATTGCTCTGAACTGTGAAAGCGTGAGACAAGGAGTTACGACAAGCAAAGAGATGACGCACTTCAGAGCTCTGAATGACAGGCTTCGACAAAAGCAAGCCAAACACAAGTCCAGAGGGGATTCACCAAAGGCGTATTTAAATATTACCCATGGAGTGGCAAATAAGTGAGATCCCTAATGCTTATGTATAAGATTCACTTTTATCTTTGCCCTGTTTAAATACCAACAAGTTAAAATACTCCTTCGCGTAAACTTCGCTATGCACATCCAAATTTAAATGTTTATTGCAATGTTTACTCAGTAGTAATCTAAAAATTCCACATTGCTACACATACTTATGATAGAACGCAGAAACGCACATTCTAATTACATTAAGCATCACTGTCAACTGGACAGTTAGGTTTTTTAAACTTCAAATGCACTTCAATTATTACAAACCTATTTCAGATGTCAGATTTATTGGCTAAAGATAGAACGTTTAGAGTCTATGCTAATCCTTTTCTAGTTAATTTCTGTTGTCCAAACTCTTTTGAATGAATCAGTTGAGGTTGTAGATACAACTCCTTCTGGAAGTCGGTTCCAAGAGTTTATGACTCGTTGTAAGAACCAGTACTCAACAGCAATATGATTTCTTCTTGGCTTTTGAACTCTCCTGCTATGTCCTCTAAGGTGTTCCTACCTGGTGGAAAGGAGAAGAGAGAATAGGTTAAGTCCGTAGTCATTATTTAAATTTTTAAACATTGTGTTTATATCTTCTCTCTGCCTACGGCATGACAGGGAGAAGAGATTTAAACTGTCTAGTCTTTCCTCGTATGAAAAATTAGTCATGGCGAGAACCATACGTGTTGCCTTCCTTCGAACACTTTCTAGAATGTGTGAGTCCCCTTTTAGACAAGGACTGGCGGCCTGGATGCAGTTTTCCGGTCTTGACCCTAACAGAGATGTATATAAAGAGGTGAACATATCTCTGGTGATTCTAGTAAAGGCTCTGAGAATTGCCCATAAGGACCTGAAACTACGTGCAGCCACCTCGCGACAGTGTGCTGTAGTTTTTAAGTCTTGGCTAACTATGACACCTAAGTCCAAGTGAGTCTGAACTGATGAAAGTGTTACTCCCTCTAGTTAGTAGGAGCTTGTGCGTGCTTGTCCAATGCGCATGGGTGCACATTTTCCATATTGATTGGGAGCATCCATTATATGGGCCACTCTGACAGTTTGTTGGAGTCTTATTGCAACGTAGACGTATCACTGTTGCCCTTCAGCTCTCTCCAAATTATTAAGTCATCTGCGTATAGGACCATAGGGGAGTCGGTGAGCACAGGTAACTCATTGATATACAGAATAAATAGGGAGGTCCGAGTACCATGCCTTGTGGCACTCCGCTACGTACTGCTGTCCAAGAGGGGAGTTTCGAATCGATCATAACCCTCTGCCTCCTCTCTATGAGGTATTCCCTAATCCAGTTTAGTAAGCTGCCTTTGATACCAAGACTTTCCAACTTAATGAGTAGCCTTTTTTGAGGTACTTTATCAAAGGCTTTGTTGAAGTCAATGAGGACGACGTCAACGGGACTTCTGTTTTCCCTTGAAATGACCTAGCTTTCTCTTGCAGTGAGGAGATTCGACAGGCATGAGGGAATTCTTCGGAACCCATGCTGTGCTCTGGATAAGAAACTGTTGATTTCCAGATACGCCATGATACCTTTCTTGATTATTCTCTCCAGTGTCTAGATCAAAGTGCTGGTAAGACTAATAGGCCTGTAATTTGAAGACCTTTGTCTTGATCCCCCTTTGGGGATGGAGGTTATTATGTCGTCCTTCCAGCCACGCGATAACACCCCACTTAGGAGAGAGAGCTTGAAGATCGCCGTCAAAGGGCTGGCTAAGTAAGCTGATAGATCCTTGGATGAAGATTATCAGGACCCACTAATTTCCCTGCATCCAGTTTCATTAGGCAGGTGCTCACGATTTCTTGGAAAACGTTAATGGAATCAATCCCGTGTCCCTCTGATGCAGCCGAGCTGATACTATGGCGATTGACAATTTCTGTATAAAGAATTCAGAGGGGTAGTCTTCGATTACTTCTCCTTTTTTGGTCCTCTTCGATTGTGTCATTGTCAATAGTCAGTTTTGAGATAGCATCAGACATTTTATTCCTGAAGTTCATGCACGAGAAAGTTTTCTTAAGTCGTGCCTTTGCATTCTGAGCCACATGTGCTTCGAACTTCGTCCTTGATTTGCGGATTCCCGCAATAGCTTTATTTCTGGCAGTGTTGCATAATTTTCTGGTCTTAGGAGTCTCAAGTGTGGCTAACAGGTTCCAACATTTTGTTTACGTTTGAGTAACTTATGAATCTCTCGGTTTATCCAAGGGGGGAATGTTTCCGACCCTTTGGGACAGACCAGGAGATGAAAGGTTCAGTTATTTGGGCGCAAAGTTGTTTTGTCTTAATTATTTCTTAAAAAGCAAATTAAGGTATTATATTGCCGAGAAAACAATATTTTAACCCTCATGAAATAAGGTGGCAGAAGTTTAAGATAGTTATAGCATACCAACGGAGTTTACTGTTTTCAAGTTCAATATGTTTCGGTTTGGAATAAAGATTAAGCTTATTTTAAGCTCTTAATAACATCAGGTACTGGCCACATTATACTTAGAAGCAATAAGTCTACTCTCTTAATAGGCTAGACTTTAAATCTCAGCATTTCGAGCAAACTTTTGGATGAAATTATATGCCCTATGAAACCATTTACCTTTCCATTTTTCACCTATGATCATGTTTAATATGTACTCTGAGTAAGCCACCGAAACTCTGCACCACAAAACTTGTGACTAGCATTTATAGTCTCTCCCGGAGGATAGTTTCGTCAATGTTGCTGAATACACACATCCCTTGATGAATGGTCGGATATTATGCCTGTTCTGCAAGGCAGAGCAGACTAGCGAATGCCGGACAAGCCTTTTTTGTCCGTGTTAACATTTCTTCTTTAGTCAAATGATTGGGACCGACACAGTCATCTAAATAAATTAAGTGGGCGGCATATTAAACCATTTTAATTCCTATCTGCAAACTAGTAGTCGGCGCAAACCAGCACTGCAAAGGCTAACGTCTGATTCAACATATACGTTTATAACAATAAATTCAAACAAATTCTGGGTATGCATATATCTGGGAAAAGTTTTCTGTTGACTTGCCAACGAAGTTAGCAGTTTCCCAGACTTTTTGTTCACTACCTTATTTACTTTGTGTTGTGACTTCATGCATGAGTGACTGTCTCACTACCCGACTAGAATTACTCATATTCCTACCAATTTTCACTTTATAAACACAGTATCCCAGATTATAATACTACCTGTTTAAAAACAGCAGCGATTACAATCACATTAAATATATCGCTAATATTAAAATTAAAGGCAGGACTGGGAAGCTTACTTCACGTTACATGTACGCTTGTGGTTTCCATGAGGAAGTCTTCTAATTACCTGAGTTCTGACTACAAATTTACAATGTACAAAGGCTGAAAAATGATAAACATTTCCAGACGTGATATTTGCCATGAGTTACATTTACTGTTTGAGGTCTAGTGACATTACGAAAATGTCCAGACTGAAGTAATTGCAGCGAGATCCTAACCCTGGGACCCGCTTGTATCAACTGTAATAATTTTTCTGTTCCTTTGCGTTCCGAGTGGAACATAGGGCTTTAAGCTTTAATGTGAAGTTTTTGTAGCAGTGAGTTTTTTGGTTTTTCACTGGAGGGGGGTTCCTAGCCTCACGCCCAACCTTTCCTCTTTACTGGCGCTACTACTTGCTTAGTGAGGCTGAGGAGTGCTTCAGTCGGGAATCGAACCCCGGACGACGTCAGGCATCGTTGGAGAGTGTTCTACCGCTGAACCACCCCCGCAACCGACTGTAATTGCACAACTTTAAAACTAGGTTCTATAGTTTTCGTCCTTTTTCTCATTTATCATAAGGACAGGAGAATTTGTTAGATATCTCAGATAGGTTGTAAACTGTTCTTATCACACCCATTCCCAAATGGTTCGACTGATGAGGTTCCAGCCATGGATTTCTCCCACTACCTTATGTTAGCAGCAGGACCAGATGGAATCCCAGCAGAAGCATTGAAAATGGACCCAGAGACAACAGCGAACTTGATGACGCCTTTGTTGGAGAACGTATGGAAGGAGGGCAAAGCACCCGAAGATTGGAAGAAAGGATACTTATTAAACCTACCAAAGAAAGGAGACCTAAGTCAATGTAAAAACTGGCGCGGAATTATGCTCCTGTTCATCCCAAGCAAAATACTAAGCCGAATCATCCTATAGAGAATCAAACACGCCACCCTGGATGAAAAACTTCGACCGGAACAGGCCGGATTCAGGAGAAACAAGTCATGTATTGATCAAATCGCCACACTACGGATCATCATTGAACAAAGCTTGGAATGGCAGTCACCTCTCCACCCTACTCAACTTCGTCGACTTTGAAAAGGCCTTCGATAGCGCAGCGCCGATCGAGAGGTCATTTGGCAACTAATTCGCTACTACGGGGTGCCATCGACAATTATACATCTCATCCAACAGTTATACGACAATGCTGCATGTCAAGTAATCCACAACGGGAAACTTACGGAATCTTCCGAAGAAGTGAAGATGGGAGTAAGACAAGCTAGTTGCCTACTATCGCCAATGATTTTCCTGATTCCAGTAGATTGGATAATGCGACAGAAAGAGAGCGGGCAATGAGGAAACAGTCATAAAATGGACTCACACAAAAAACTTGGAGGATCTGGACTTCGCCGATGATATATGTCTGGTTTCCCACTAACTGGAAGATATGCAAGTCAAAAGCAACAAGTTGGCAGAAGAACCATCCACAGAAGATAGGGCTTCAAGTGAACATAGAGAAAACAGAGGTGATGAAGATTCCTAGCCAACATCAACAGCAACAACAACAGACAACAATCAACCAGCAGAAATGGGGGGAACCTGAAAGAAACAACCTCCTTTACCTACCTGGGAAGTATCGTTTCAACTACAGGCGGAACTGACGAGGATATCAGAGCCAGAATCGGAAAAGCAAGACAAGCTTTCATTACTCTCAAGCCTTTGTGGAGACCAACCCTCAGCACTCAGCATCAAAAATAAGATCCGGATTTTCAACTCCAATGTAAAGTCAGTGCTACTATACGAATCAGAGACTTGGCGAGTCATAAAGAGCACGTCAAACAAACTTCAAACCTTCATTAACAGTTGTCTTCGCTCAATACTTAAGATTAGACGACCAGAAAAGATCAGCAACAGGGATCTCTGGCATTGAGCGAACCAACCAGGAACCGATTGTGAAACAAACAGGAAGGAAGAAATGGAGATGGATTGGCCATACACTGAGGAAACCATCAAGTGACATCACTAGACAAGCCACTACTCGAGTAGAACCTGAAAGGGAAGCAGCGAGTTGGTCGTCACTGCAAGGGTGACTTGGAGGAGGTCATGTGAGGAGGAGATGAAAGCATGTGGACAGACTTGGAGCGGGGTGAAAAAGTTGACAGAAAACACAAGGCAATGAAGACGCGTGGCTGAAGCCCTATGTTCCTCTAGGAACTAAAGGATACAATAATAATAATACCTTATGTTACCACAGTCGCATCCTGTTGTATAATTATATGATACTGCATGTGGTGTTGCAGCCAATTTTTTCTTTATTTATTGTCTTAGTAGGATCTTGGATATTACTTTAACTTCTTATATATACAAACTTATTTGCGTATCCTGATAAAGTGTAAATGTAAACAAATGCATTTTCATGCGTCTGTCAATCAACCGAACCTAATATGTGGAGGCTGGTGAGAGTTCTCTCTTACACAGACTTTGAATCTGTAGCATATCGATTGAAAACTGCAAATACAACAATCCCTCCATATTCGTAAACTTAGCATTAGAATAATCTGTTTGATAAATCTAACTGATTGAGGCTCAACGTACGTACACCTTTGCACAGAAATGCAGCAGTTCGAGTTGTCGCTCTCCGTGAAGCGAATAAACACAGAACTATAAGAATAAGTTTTGATAGTGTGAAATATTCCCAATATTATGAGTTGAAAGTCTATCTGAACGAAGAATTTTCTTTTCAGTAATTTCTCCTGTGCAGGTTCTTACAATTATAAAATATTATAATATTTGCTGTCGTTACAATGATGATAGCCAGTTATGCGGCGGATACATTTTTTAACGTAGAATAACAGATTAGTAGTTATGGGGTGTCAAAATAAATAGTCGTATTTGTGTTACAAACGTCGTGCTAGGCTGAAATCGATTAGAAAATATTGTAAAACGGGAGACAATGGTGGTGATTAATCATAATAGATTTGTAGAGTTTGGGGTAGGAAAATTAACAAGTCAGTTCAAGGTTATCGAAGGTGTCAGGTGAGTGGCTAGTACAAAGGGGGATCTGTGTTCGGAGATAGTAAGACTGCAATGAGAGGTACATAATGAGATAACGAATAGGTGAAATGAAACAGGTGGGGGCATATATTGAGAAAAGAGATAACTTCACTAATAATAAGTCCGGAAAGTATAAATGGAAAATTTGCTACTATTGAATGTTTGAGTAAAGGGTATAAATTATAACAAATAATAATTGTAATAATAAGCAAAGAAAGAAAAAAGCCAAGAGGGCTAAGGGGAAGAGTCACTCTTGGTGAGAAGAAGAATCATCAATCCAAGTTTGGCCAGTGTAGGAACAGTGTCTGGACGTGTTCTTTTTGGATACAGAGTTCCGGTTTAGTCGACCTTATTGAAACAGCTTCAGCTGTGTATGTGGGAGACGTAAGCGAACTGTACGTGATAATGACTTCGGAATTCGGAATGCAATCCTGAAAGCTGTGTTGACATCGATATGATATCCAGTGTCGACCAAGTGTGACAGGATCGAGCTTTTCATGCACTAAATTTCCCCCTCCCTGCTGAACCAAGCTGGTAAATGCTCTTCAACCCCTTGAGACGAACCTGCCCACTTGAACCACAGGAACAGTTGAAATGATATATGCATGAAGAAGAGCTAAGGTTAGGTAAGACATCTTTGAGTTGCTGGGTGAACATTGGACTAATCTATTATTTTACGTGAAAAATGTATCCACCGTATAACTGGCAATTATTCTAACGACAACAAATATTATAGTATTTTATAACTGTAAGCACCTGAAGAGGAGAAATTATTGAAAAGAATATTCTTCCTTCAGATTGACGTTTAATTCATAAGAATAAGTGTACAGGAGAAAGAATAGTAACGTGGAGAAACATGAGTAATTGATGAATATTGGAAATTACAAAGAGTGAATCCGTCTGCACCATTGAGAACGGTTTTGATTTATACCACACCAACAGTCTTCAGTCATTGTTCCTTTGTATCTCGGTAGCACTATTTCTGGTAGTCTATACCTTCCTACGTACGTGGCTGACTCAAACCAACAGTTAAAGACTTCATAGACTGACGTCAAATTTGGATTTTCATGTATTGATTTTGTAGGGATTTTGTGTTTGATTGCATGGAGGATTTCATCATGAGCTGACATCGGTTAGAGAAGCACTGGAAAACCTGGGAGTGCTGGACAGCTGTTTTGTCACACTAGTTTCGGACTCTTCAATAATATACAGAGGTAAATCCTTCTCTGCCGTGCTCACTGAAGCTGGTGTCTCCCAAGGTGCTGTACTCTCCCAACTTCTCTTTTCTTTCTTTCTTTCTTTCTACATGACTTACCATCTTCAAATGACAATAATTGTGTTAAATATGCTGACGACCTGACTGTATTTTTGCCTGTCAAGTGTCAAAGTGACTGTTCAGAACTAAACGGCTTCCCATCAGAAATCAGCCAGTCGTCCAAGGAAAACGGTCTTACTTTAAACCCCTCTAAATGCCAAACAATCAATTTCACCTTCAGGCATAAATCTGACCTAAACAAACTGGTTAGCACTCACGAGGTGTGCAGCATAGATGGCACTGAAATAGAAACCAAGTCGGAAATTAAATATCTTGGCGTCATTCTATCTGATGATCTTTGGCTATCGAAACAGAAAAACTAGACAGATCTTTGTGTACAGAAAAAGTTCCTTCAATCCCCCCAACTTTTATGGTCTTAATCCATCTATGCTAAAGTATGGTAATCCTCAATCATATTTTAGCTCTACCAACTTTTCATTTTTTCTATTCAATTTGTATACTCTTCCTTTATTACGTCAATTGTCACTACTATTACTATTCTCACTTTGAACTGTCCCCGGTATTATTTCACTTGTCATGCTAAATCAATTCTTTTTTACAGCGTTAAATTCTATGCTATTAAATTTCACACAATATTACGTAACGTTTTTATTTATTTTATTCGATTTGTCTACTAATCCTATAATTGCACACCCTTTTTCAAGTCCTATCCATCGAATGAATTGTTGTATAGATGACATTAATTGTTTTGCCACCTGGCACAAACATTTCAGTTTTAATTGCATTTCATACTACTATTATTATTGTTTTATGCATTCACACCTATGATTCAATTCCCTCACCGAATATAACTTCTTAAAAAAGAACCATATACACATACGATTGTACAGCTTGATGATAAATTCGTTCTTGAAAAGAGTCTCTTCGCTGAATGGGTCACTTGTTTCAATTTTCTATATTTCTTTATCATCTATTTCAAGAGGATCCTGTGAAGTGAATGACTGTTCTTTTTGCCTCACACTCCTGTTTATTATTTCTCTTTTGAATATCTCTTTTCTCTTGCTTTGTGCATTACATTTGTGCAAAGTTGTATGTTGAAACCAGTTAGTTAGTTAGTCAGTCAGTCAGTCAGTCAAGCAGTCAAGCAGTCGGAGTGACTTACTTTAAGAATGAAACTTCGTCTTAGCATTAGTGTGTAATGTCATCGTTAGGAAGTACTTACTATATTACTGTGCTTTATCAAACTTATTTTTGAGTGTTAGATAGTTCGAGGCAATCAGTAGGAAGCCCTGCAAGTAAGTTTCATATCTGATGCTCATTGTCTCTCAGTGCTGCATGGGTCACTTGTTTTGATTTTCCATAGGTTGCAATGGGAATTTTCTATGAGTTAAAGAAATACGCTGACTTATTTTTCTCTCATGACTAAGACAGAAACACACACATGAAATATGTAAACTTGGTCTTCACCACTCATATTAATTGCTCTATCGATAAATTTCGTTTTTTTCCTAATATCTACCAAGAGCGTCGACACCAATTGAAGAGATCATTTCACACAAATACCAAAGAGATTGGATAGATGCACAGATGAAAAAAGCTGAGAGTAGAAGGAAAAAGTCAAATGAAACTAAGGTAATCATTTGAATAATTCACAAACGTGCATTGAACACAGATTATGTCGAAAAATATTTATCAATCAAATACAGAAGCAGCACTTCGAAGAAATTGTATGAAAAAAGAGAAAGAAGAAAGTTTTTGGAAGTTGAAAGAATTTGAACGAAAGGTAGGTTAAATTTATTGAAACAATTCGTCCCCTTTATCCATTGAGAAGACGTTTTTTTCTCTGAATTGTGTAATGTATTTGAGAACAACACATTACGAACAATCTGAACATACACACGGACTTGTCATAGGAGTATCTGCATGAAATTAATAAAGAGTTAAGAGGTGGGAAAATAGATCACTTAGTTCCATTATGGGTAAATTTTGTTTTGATAAAGTCTCACGGTGGTGTTATACAGTGATGTTTACTGATGACGTTTCAAGCACTATTTATTACTGCTCATAATCATATCAAGGTAATCACACAACTTCCTAAATTCATTTATATAGTTCCATTGTTTTTCACTTGATTTGATTGGCAGTAGTATTTTCCATATTTCAGGTATGAGTGATGAATCATTCCTATCGCATGTGTTTGGTGTAAACTCGATGAACAAGGATTCAGTAATCAACAACCTCTCTCTCCACCTATCCTAGATTAATTTTGTAGAATTTTACCCCTCTCCAACCACCCTATTGTGTGGTTGTGTGTTAATGTATGCATTGCAATTGCTGAGCTTTTTTCTAAATTACTCATCTTCTCGGGGTCAACCATTCTTACCTTAGCTAAATTCTTATGTTCTGACAATCTGACTATCCCTGACCTACTAGTTTCACCCATGTAGTTGACCTAACTGACATTCATTGCAGGGTATTTTGTAAATTACATTATTTTGTCTAATTGGGTCAGCTGGGTCCTTTAACCTACACAGCTTGTCCCTGAGTGAGTTTGTAGGTTTAAATGCCACCCTAATTCCTGTTTTACTTAGAATCCTTCGTAGGGCCACTGTGCGTCGGTGGCACAGTGGTTAGGACTCTCGCCGACCATGCACATGGTCCAGGGTTCGAGCCCTCGCCGACGCACACCTGATATCTATGGTCGTGATATGTATCCACATATATATATTTATGTGTGTGTGTGCATGTTGGTCTCTCTTTCTGTTTGCTCGGTTAGTCTGTGACCACTTCACTTGTATGGACTTGTCTCCTTTAATAATGTGTATTCTCCTTATATTATATTATATATAATATGAGTGTTTGTTGACAGTCCGTTGCTTGGTGACATATATCCATATATGTTTGTTTGCATGTCTGCTATATTCGCTATGTATAATTGGATCGACACTCCATTATAATTAGCCATTCATGTTAAGACTGTCTAATGATTTTTCCCACGCTTGTCTGAATTATTTATATATATTCGCATTCACAATTTGTGTGAACGACTTTACTTTACAACTACTTTACTTACTTACCACTTTGGTGTGAGACCATTTATTTTCGTCTCCTTGTGTTTGGACAATAGAAGTATCATCGCAAACCTAGTGGTCTTCTGATTTCCGCCTTCTCGCGTCAGGACTATTAAATTCTCGACCAGTCCATAATAATAATTTAGCGACGAGTACATAACAATTTGGCGACGGGGAAAACTACTATTAACCACACAGCAGCAACAACATAACAATTTACTATGGATCCTATTAAATTGGAATTATTGTTTGAACGACAAATGAAATTAATGGAAATGTTCGTCAACCAACAGACTGGTCCAGCTCCACCTTCAAGCAATCCCAATCATACCATGCTACCATCTGTCGACGGCATTGTGAACAGTATTTCACAGTTCAATTATGACCCAGAGGCTAATGTCACTTTTGACACATGGTATCAACGTTATGAGGATTTATTCACTGTTGATCTCGCCTCACAAGACGATGCTTGGAAGGTGCGAGTGCTGTTACGTAAATTGGGTCCGGCAGAATATGAACGGTACTGCAACCTAATTTTACCACAGAAACCACGTGACAAGAGTTTCGATGATACAATAAAGTTGCTGCGTGAACATTTTGGAGACCACTCCTCATTATTCAGTATACGTTATCGTTGCCTCAAGCTGGCAATGAATGAAAATGATGATTTTCTTACTCACGTTGGCACAGTCAACCGAGAATGTGAGAGATTTCGACTCAGGTCCTTAACAGATGATCAGTTCAAAGCCTTGATTCTCATATGCAGTCTCCAATCTCCTCGTTTCACAGATATCCGAACTCGACTGCTCAATCAGCTAGAACAAAATCCCAAGTTAACATTACATGACATAGCTGATGAATATCAACGGCTGATTAATCTGCAGAAAGACACACACCTGGTCGAATCAACACCTCCGAGAAGCTCTGATATTCGTGCATTACGCAAGAGCAAAAATCTCTCATCAGCTACTCCTGACCCACCTACTTCTTCTAATGTCCCGCGGAAATCTATACATACTCGTCCAACTTCACAAAATACGACAAAGAAGACCCCTCCATCACCATGCTGGCATTGTGGCGCGTGGCACTTTGTAAAGTCTTGCCCATACAAAAATCATCGTTGCAGCAAGTGCAAAATCATCGGTCATAAAAATGGGTTTTGTCAGCCACGCCAACTCAGATATCATAATCCAGCAAAAGCTCAACAAAATGTCGGTCCTAAATCTCCAAAAAGATCACTGAGTCTACGTGCAACCTGTCAAGTCACAACACCAGCTATGCGGAAATATATTGACCTTCAGATGAATGGTCATGATACTCGTCTGCAGCTAGATACTGCCTCTGATATTACTGTTATATCAGAGAAACTTTGGAATTATATTGGCAGACCACCTATCACCAATACTTCCCAGTCTCTTCTCAGCGCCTGTGGTGGGCGGCTCAAACTAATTGGTGAACTCAAATGTTCTGTTTCCTTCCGCAATACCAAATTCACAGGAATTTGTTACGTCACGAAGAATGATTTAAATGTTTTGGGACTTGATTGGTTCTATCGTTTGCATCTGGCTGATGTCCCACTAAATTCTCTACGCAATACAGTGAAGAAGCATAAAATGCTAGACAATTCCGGACGGAGCCGAAGCCGCAAACCCAACAATCAGACGAAACGACAGGCGTCAACAACAAGCCCAAAGGTCCCAGATAAACCCCCAGGTAAACATCCTACTAACCATCCATCTTCTCAAAAGGGGAGGTGATATGTATCCACATATATATATTTATGTGTGTGTGTGCATGTTGGTCTCTCTTTCTGTTTGCTCGGTTAGTCTGTGACCACTTCACTTGTATGGACTTGTCTCCTTTAATAATGTGTATTCTCCTTATATTATATTATATATAATATGAGTGTTTGTTGACAGTCCGTTGCTTGGTGACATATATCCATATATGTTTGTTGGCATGTCTGCTATATTCGCTATGTATAATTGGATCGACACTCCATTATAATTAGCCATTCATGTTAAGACTGTCTAATGATTTTTCCCACGCTTGTCTGAATTATTTATATATATTCGCATTCACAATTTGTGTGAACTACTTTACTTTACAACTACTTTACTTACTTACCACTTTGGTGTGAGACCATTTATTTTCGTCTCCTTGTGTTTGGACAATAGAAGTATCATCGCAAACCTAGTGGTCTTCTGATTTCCGCCTTCTCGCGTCAGGACTATTAGTTTCTCGACCAGTCCATAACAATAATTTAGCGACGAGTACATAACAATTTGGCGACGGGGAAAACTAGTACATAACAATTTGGCGACGGGGAAAACTACTATTAACCACACAGCAGCAACAACATAACAATTTACTATGGATCCTATTAAATTGGAATTATTGTTTGAACGACAAATGAAATTAATGGAAATGTTCGTCAACCAACAGACTGGTCCAGCTCCACCTTCAAGCAATCCCAATCATACCATGCTACCATCTGTCGACGGAATTGTGAACAGTATTTCACAGTTCAATTATGACCCAGAGGCTAATGTCACTTTTGACACATGGTATCAACGTTATGAGGATTTATTCACTGTTGATCTCGCCTCACAAGACGATGCTTGGAAGGTGCGAGTGCTGTTACGTAAATTGGGTCCGGCAGAATATGAACGGTACTGCAACCTAATTTTACCACAGAAACCACGTGACAAGAGTTTCGATGATACAATAAAGTTGCTGCGTGAACATTTCGGAGACCACTCCTCATTATTCAGTATACGTTATCGTTGCCTCAAGCTGGCAATGAATGAAAATGATGATTTTCTTACTCACGTTGGCACAGTCAACCGAGAATGTGAGAGATTTCGACTCAGGTCCTTAACAGATGATCAGTTCAAAGCCTTGATTCTCATATGCAGTCTCCAATCTCCTCGTTTCACAGATATCCGAACTCGACTGCTCAATCAGCTAGAACAAAATCCTAAGTTAACATTACATGACATAGCTGATGAATATCAACGGCTGATTAATCTGCAGAAAGACACACACCTGGTCGAATCAACACCTCCGAGAAGCTCTGATATTCGTGCATTACGCAAGAGCAAAAATCTCTCATCAGCTACTCCTGACCCACCTACTTCTTCTAATGTCCCGCGGAAATCTATACATACTCGTCCAACTTCACAAAATACGACAAAGAAGACCCCTCCATCACCATGCTGGCATTGTGGCGCGTGGCACTTTGTAAAGTCTTGCCCATACAAAAATCATCGTTGCAGCAAGTGCAAAATCATCGGTCATAAAAATGGGTTTTGTCAGCCACGCCAACTCAGATATCATAATCCAGCAAAAGCTCAACAAAATGTCGGTCCTAAATCTCCAAAAAGATCACTGAGTCTACGTGCAACCTGTCAAGTCACAACACCAGCTATGCGGAAATATATTGACCTTCAGATGAATGGCCATGATACTCGTCTGCAGCTAGATACTGCCTCTGATATTACTGTTATATCAGAGAAACTTTGGAATTATATTGGCAGACCACCTATCACCAATACTTCCCAGTCTCTTCTCAGCGCCTGTGGTGGGCGGCTCAAACTAATTGGTGAACTCAAATGTTCTGTTTCCTTCCGCAATACCAAATTCACAGGAATTTGTTACGTCACGAAGAATGATTTAAATGTTTTGGGACTTGATTGGTTCTATCGTTTGC